ACCATGTTTGCTGGAACACTGCAACCGAAGAAGAAGAAGAGAAGAAGAAGAGGAGAAAGTTTGAGAATGGCGGCTCTAAACCTTTCAGCCGACCCTACTATCTTATATATATGTTTATCACATAGTGTTACATGAATGGACYAGAATGCCCCTGATTAGTGATGGGACACCTAGACAAATAAAACATTAAACAAGTTTAGGCCCAATAACTAATGACTTAAGACCCAGCAATGACTAAMATATACATTAAATCAGCCGAACCAACAGTTTCCTTGCTGAAATGGCCTCTGATAGAGTTTTTCTTGTTCTTGATCTCACTACAAATCTGACTTTTGTTGGCCATTTATTTGATGAAGGTAACATTCTAACCTTTTTTCGTGATGAATGTTTTATTCAGGATTGGAACACTAGGAAGGTGAAAGGAAGGGGCATAGGTTGGGTCGTCTGTCTGCAGTTGTTTAAGTAAGAGTCATACTTTACCTTTTCCTCACATGTTTGAGCACGCTACCTCTCCCTTTGAGCTTATACATAGTGATGTCTGGACTGCATCAGTCACTTCTTGACAAGGTTTTTAGTGAGTTTAAAATCTGAATATGAACCTATTCGAGCAAAAATATTAGGTGGATCTCTCTTCTCTTGAGGAGGTGTTTGCTCAACTCTGGAGGATTTATATTGAACCTACAGAGCCTTCCACTCTCTCGGATAGGTCTATTTTCGTGGTGGCAAGAGGAGGTTGTGGAAATAAAGGTGGTGGAGGTGGTCATGGATTTCCAGGGAACTGAGGTGGTCTTATGTTCAACCGTACTAGTGGTCAGAGTGGAGGTCGAGATTCAGGGGGAGGTCATGGTAGAGGACAGAGTACTGGTCCTAGAAGGTGCACATGTTGTGAATTAGAGGGGCATACTGTTAAGTTCTGTTAAGTCCCAAACAATTACCCTTGCTAATGGTTCTACCTCTCCCATTTATGGTGTTGGTGATGCTGATCTCACTTCTTTATCTTTACCCTCTATCTTACTTGTACCCAAATTTCCCTTTAACCTCGTGTCTGTTAGTAGATTAACCAAGTCACTTAATTGTTCTATAACGTTTTATCCCTTTTCTTGTGTGTTTCAGGATCTCAAGACGGGGATGAAGATTGGTGGAGGGCATGAAGCAGGTAGATTGTATTACCTTAATGGTGGTGGTCCGAAAGTAGCTCTTCAATCCTCTCTTACTCCTCTCCAGTGGCACTATAGACTTGGTCATCCATCACTTAAGGCCCTGAAGTTACTGGTTCCTTATTTAAGTCATCTTTCATCATTGGATTGCGAGTCATGTCAGCTTGGAAAACACCATAGAGTCTCTTTTAGTCCTAGAGTTGATAGTCGTGCTTTAAGTCCTTTTCTTTACTTCATTCAGATGTTTGGGGTCCAAATAAAGTAGTGTCGTACAATGGCTACAAGTACCTTGTAATTTTTGTTGATGATTATTCAAGGATGAGATGGCTTTATCTTATGAAAGACAAAAGTGAGTTGTTCTCTATTTTTCAAAAGTTTCATGCTGAAATTCGTACCCAATTTGGCGTTCATATTAAAATTCTTCACTCAGATAATGCAAAAGAATACACCTCAACAGCATTTTAGCAATACTTAGAGCACCACGAGGTAATTCACCAAACTTCTTGTTCTTATACCCCACAATAGAATGGTGTGGCTGAACAGAAGAATCGACACTTACCTGAAAATGCTTGGTCTATTATGCTTGATATGAATGTTCCAAAGTGTTTTTGGAGTGATGCTGTCCTTACATCATGTTTTCTCATCAATCGGATGCCCATGTCTATCCTTGGAAGTCGATCTTGTTCCCTACTCTTTCTCCATTCCCTCTTACTCCCAGAGTCTTTGGTTGTGTTTATTTTGTTCAAAATTTAGGACCTAGGCTGGATAAGTTAGATGCACATGCTTCAAAATGCATCTTTCTTGGCTACTCCAAAACCTAGAAAGGGTATAAGTATTACAACCCTAGCTCTCATCGGTCATTCGCTTGTTCTGATGTCACTTTCTTTGAGTATATTCCATTCTTTCTTAGTTCTAATGTTCCTCTTCCTACTCTAGTGTTTCCTCTTCTAGTTCCAATTGAGGACCCCTTCCTACGGTTAATGTCATGTCTCAGTTGTCGTCTTTTCCAGTGTAGGTTAATACCAAAAGGCCACCAATCACACAAGTGTATACTCACAAAAGAGCACCGGCCCCTCCTCTAGTTCAGCCCTCGTCAACGGATCTTGTAGTTGCACCTCCTCCTCCTGACCTTGATCTTCCTATTGCATTGAGGAAAGGTAAACGTAGTTGTACATTTCATGCTATTTCCTATTATGTTTTTGTTGCTCACCTTTCTGCTTCCCATCGATAGTTTATATCTTTGTTATCATTTGTTTCCATTCCTAAGAATGTCCAAGAAGCCATTACCTCTCCAAGGTAGCGACAAGCAATAGAAGAGGAATTGTCTGCACTGGCACACAATCACACGTGGGAGCTTACCACTCTCACTCCTGGTAAGCATGTTGTTGGATGTAAGTGGGTATACACAATGAAATATCTTCCATATGGCAGTGTAGAATGGTTGAAAGCTAGGTTAATGGCCAAAGGCTATTCTCAGTTGTACGGTGTTGACTATATGGAGACATTCTCTCCTATTGCTAAGATTGGTTTAGTTCGGGTGTTGATTTCTCTAGCAGCAATGTATGATTAGCCCCTCTTTCAACATGACATCAAAAATTCCTTCTTACATGGAGATCTTGTTGAGGAGGTATATATGGAGAAACCACCAGGGTTTGTTGCTTAAGAGGAAGATGATCAAGTTTGCAGACTTAAGAAGGCATGGGCTAAAACAATCTCCACGTGAGTGGTTTGGCAAATTCAGTAAAGTAGTGAGGGACTTTGGCATGAAACAATGCCAAGTAGACCATTATGTGTTTAGTTATGAATCAGAAGCTGGGAAGATTTTGTTAGTGGTGTATGTGGATGACATTGTCATAACTAGTAGTGATAGCAGTGGAATCGACAGGTTGAAGAACTTTCTACATGATCACTTCCAAACAAAAGATTTGGGTAAATTGAAATATTTTTTGGGAATAAAAGTTGCAAGGTCAAGGCATGGTATTAACTTGTGCTAAAGAAAATATGTCCTTAATTTACTTGAAGAAATAGGGTTTTTGGGTGCCAAACCAGCTGAAACACCCATGGAACCAAATGTCAAGTTGAGTAGTGATGCAGGTGAAGTGTTTGATGACCCTGGAAGGTAAAAGAGGTTGGTGGGTAAATTGAACTACCTGACTATTACTCGGCTAGATATATTATTTGCAGTAAGTATGGTGAGTCAGTTTATGCAACACCCTTGAGTTCCACATTGGGAGGCAGTTCTAAGAATTGTTAGGTACTTAAAGGGAGCTCTAGATCATGAACTGTTATACAAGAGTGGAGGAACTCTTGAGATAGAGGGATACACAGATATTGTTTGGGTCGGATTTGTGTCTGATAGGAGATCCACTACAGGGTATCGTACCTTCCTTGGTGGTAATCTGGTAACTTGGAAGAGCAATAAACAAACTGTGGCAGCAAGAAGTAGTGTTGAAGCTGAATACAAGGCCATGGCTCATAATACATGTGAACTAGTGTGGCTGAAAAATCTTTTGCAGGCGCTGGGGTTCTCAGTTTACAGACCCATGAGGTTGTACTGTGATAACCAAGCCACAGTCCACATTTCTTCTAATCCAGTCTTTCACAAGAGAACAAAGCATATTGAAGTTGATTGCCACTTTGGTGCAAGACCTGATCCCATATCTTCACATGTTCTCTTCTCCCACAATACTCCTTAGCGTATTACCCAAATTTCTATTAACAACCTCCGCTTGCCCATTAGTTTGGGAATGGCATGTGCTGGGTTATTTCAGTTGGGTCCCCAAACCCCATCCAATCGCACAACTTCTTTTAGGAACAAATCCGCTACATGAGTAGCATCAACTATCTTATAACATGGGATAAAGTGTGCCATCTTCAAAAATCGATCATCCACAACAAAAACTGAGTCATGTCCCTTTATTGTTGACCCTCCTCCATGCATCTCTCATATGATTTGTTCCCATAGTGACCCTTCAAGAATGCATAATTGATTTCCATTAAATAAATAACCTTCGATTATAACAAATTGACAAAATTCAGATTTGTATACCTGTTAGTTTCATAGAGAACAAAACCATGAAGAGACATATTACAAAATAGGATATCTGAAGAACACATCAACAAAAAACATGTCATTATTCTAGACTATTCTTAGTTGACAAGAGTTTAAGGCTACAAATATTTACACCTTGTTCACAAGATTTACAACCTAAATGTACATTGGTCTTTGGATGCAACAATTATAGACGTAATAGACCAAGCATGCAAACTCATAAAGCCTTACAATGCTTTTGTGGTGTTAGTACTAAAAAGACATGTTCCTACCATAGAATAACCCATTAAAATATGATTACAATTGGCTGATATTGCAAAATAGAGAACAAAACCATGAAGAGACATATTACAAAATAGGATATCTGAAGAACACATCAACGAAAAACATGTCATTATTCAACACACTAAAAAAAGTAAAACAATCAACTAATAGAATAGGGTATAAAATAGAAGAAGAAAAAAAAAAGAATAGGGTATAAAATTGTATGATGCATATTATGGCTTTGGCAGATGGCCTAGCCAAGCTTAGAGTTAATAGGAATGAGATATATTGAGAGCTCACTAATCCATTGTAATCTGAACTAGATATTTGTATTGAAAGTAGTGGATAGGCTATCTGAGGCTAGCCTTCTAGGGGCGTGCTTATGATTGTAATGCTCTCTTTTGATTAATGAAATCTTCTTTTAGTTACTGGTAAAAAATCATGTGATGCATATTCTAAACATAGAATAATTCTCACATATTAAAATGGCACCATCATTCCTCTATAAACAAAAATAGAAGCTAGAGTCATGATTCATACAATGGAATGCCGAGGAAATTCGTTAATATATCTGAAGATCGAGCAACATAGGCAACCAGAAGGGCATAGTGTATAGAGATATATGACAAGCTGAAACATATATACAAACATTTTCATGTTAAAATAAAATTTAAAACAAATTGCATTACCGAAACTAAAGATTATGAAATACGGCATACATAACCAAAGATAACACATAAAATACCAACAATTAGCTTATAGGCTCAGATAACTGATTTAACTAGATAAAATTGCTTGTGATTTGAGAAGCAATTTCATTTTTAACTTGCCGGATGAGTTCCCAGCCAATTTAGTACAAATTCTCCAAGAAGATGCATCAGGCATACCCTATCTCCTGGTTAAATAGCATCATGGCTCTCTGTTTTTTGTTTCTATTTTCTGATATCCCCTTTAGTTCTTCTATTGTGATTTTGTAAATTAATAAGATGAACTCCTTGTATAGAGGGTTTAAGAAAACCGCAATAACTTGTTTTACTTTTTAAAGTGTTCACGTGGTTTCGTTTGTGTTATATGGTAAGATATCATCATCGTCATCATCTTTTTACTATAGAGACAGTATGTATATAAGACATAATCTTCTTTATGATACAGAGACAGTATGCATATAAGATATCATCATCATCATCCAAGCCTTATCCCAACTATATGGGGCCAGTGACATGAATCCTGTTTTGCCATTCCATTATTTTAATGTCATATTCATTGTTAAATTATGTATATAAGATATGACCATTATATTTATTTTTGTCATTACTTCTCCATATATGGATCTCTCTTGTAAACCTACATGATTTCCCATACTTAATCAGGGGCATAAGTGTTTTTGTGTTTTTAATTAGAAACATATAAATAATATCTGGCTGACTAGAGATCTACTTTTCTTCTCTCTAGTTCGAACCAGTTCTCTCTCTCTCTCTCTCTCTCTCTCTCTCTCTCTTCTCTGCTATTATTCTCTGTTATTCTAGGGATGACACCAGTACAGATCAGTTCTGTAACATGGTATCAGAGCATCTGTAGTCAGTTCAGGTCAATCCAGATTCTTGCATCACCCTTTGCCCTAGATCTCTGCAGAGATCTCATCAACCACATGGAGATTCACAGAGGGGCTTAAAAGGAGTTGATCATTTTCTGTCTTTGGAGGTTTTCATGCCTCCAATTGGTGGTGAAGTGATTGTTTCAGGGGGTTGGTAAAAACCCTCTAATCGATGGATTGAAGAGGGCTGTTTCAGGTGTAGTGGGTAGATTAGTGCAGGACTGATTTGTGTGGTTTAAATAGGTGGGTTATGGGTGATACAGTGTGAAACAAGTATTGATTGGTTGCAGACCTAGTAATATGTGTTTTGGGTGTATTCAGGTGCTTTCTTTGGTGGAAGGTGTAGGACTGCAGTGACAGTTATTGCTGAAAACTGTGACAGCAGATGTTTTCAGCAATAACCAGACATTAATGTGCAGTGTGGTGGCTAGCAATTGAGGTGGTGTGAAATACTAGTGAGTGGATTTTTCTTTTTTTTACCATGGCAGCTATGGGAGATAGAAGTGAATACAAATCTAGTGTTATGATTCCCCCTAATTACCTGAATGTGCAATGACTTCTATTAAACTGAATGGTGAGAATTGTGCACCTTGGTGAAGCATGTGAAAGAAGAAAAACCCTCAGGTGATTCTCATGGGTACAGTGAGTGGGAACAAGAAAATGCACAGATTATGACATGGTTGTGGAATATTATGGAACCCAAGATTAATGTGAATTTTATGTTCTTAGATACAGTTAAGGAGATTTGGGACCATGAAAAGAAGCTTTACTCTGGACAAGATAACACTACCAAAGTATATCAACTTTAGAAAGAGTATTTTAATCTATAGTAGGGTAATCAAAGTCTTGAGGAGTATTATGCTAGCATCAAGAATCTTCAGAATGAGTTGAATGTTTATCATCCCCTTACATCTAATGTCAAAATTTAACAACAGAAAGAACAACTTGATGTAACCAGATTCTTAGTAGGGTTGAAGGCTGAATATAAACCAGTGAGACCACAAATACTAGGTGGATCTGCCCTTCCCTCTCTTAAAAAAGTATTTGCCCATCTTTAGAGGATTTCTGTTAGACCTCTGGAGTACTCTACTGTGTTTGATAGGTCTGCTTTTGTAGTGACAAGAGGGGGAGATTGTGGTGGCAGAGGAGCTCGAGGAGTTCAGCCAGGTCATGGTGGTAGTAGTGGTCCCATGTTCATTCATGGTGGTCGGCGCATTAGAGGTCAAGATCATAGTTGTCAAGGTGACACCTAGGCAATGCCTAGGCAACAAGGTGCCCTTTGAAGCTCGCCTCACCTAATCGCCAAGCAGTTTTCTACTTCCTACCATAAAATACTTTTTTATTCATTCTTTTTTGAGATTATAATTATAAAATAGACATTACTAAACTAAAATAATCATTTTGTATGTTTATATACTCATTTCTTTTTATTATTTTCTTATTTATTGGGGTTTAATCAACACAAACATTGCTAAATGCTGTATTGAACCCTCAAAGACTTCAACCTGAACCAATAAGTAAGAAGGAACTTAAAATTTTATCTAATCAACACATTTTCTTCTTCTTCTTCTTCTTCTTCTTCTTCTTCTTCTACTACCAATACTTTTTATTTTATTCTTTTCCTATAACAAAAATAAGGGTTCAGCCCCTATATTTTTTTAATTTTATTTTCCTTCTTCCTTTTCTTCTCATGAATATGTTGATTTTCTATACTTTAAATGAAATTTATACTTTTCTTATGAAAATCATGAATAATTATTAAAGAAATATGGTTATGGTACCTAGGGAAATACCATAGGATCTATGTTTTTAACATAAAAACATCCGGTGACTAGGCGACATGGTGCCCCCCAAAAGCCTAGACTCGCCTTGGCACCTTGAAAACTATGGTCAAGATTTAGGGGGAGCTCATGGTAGAAGACAGTAATAGTCCAAGGAAGTATACACACTATGGACTAGAGGGACATACTATCAATTTTTGTTATGCTACATGGGCCACCCTCAACCCGGGCCAATCATGTGGTGGCTAGTGGTGGTGGTACGAGAGATGAAATTCAGCAAGTTGATCAAGCACCTTCTACATCTACAAATGCCTCTGGAAAGAAATGATGAGTGTTCCACAAGATGAGTATGAGTGATTACTTCGGGCTACATCTCAGCAGAATATAGCTATCCTTGCCCACTTAGGTATGGCTTGTCTGGCATCCAAACTCCTTCATTATTGACTCTGGAGCTTCTCATCATAGCACTAGGACTCCATGTGTGTTTTCTTCTCTTTCTCAGTCCTCTACATCACACACAATTACACTTGCTAATGGCTCTACATTTTCTATCTGTGGTATTGGTAATGCTAACGTGGATTCGTTACTCTTGTCCTCAGTTTTGTGTGTTCCCAAATCCCCTTTTAAACCTTATGTTTGTTATGAAATTAATCAAGTCTCTTAATTGCTCTATCACCTTTTACCCTTCTTCTCGTGTTTTCAAGATCTCAAGATAGGGATGAAGATTGGTGGAGGGCATGAAGCTAGTGGACTATATTACAGTAGAAAAGTTGATAGCTATTTTTTGATATAAACTTTGTGAAGAAAAGAAGAAAGAGATGTCTAGAAAGGAAGAGAAGAAGTAGAAGAAAATGAGAGGAAGCCGAAAAGAATTAATTCCGGTCGCCCCCTTCCTTTGATTTATATACTTCATAAAAAAGAATGTACAAATACAAGAATACCCTTTCAAGTTGGGAATAAATGTCACATTCCCAACTTGTGTAGATCATGCTCCAACTTGTTTCTTGCAACACCTTTTGTAAGAACATCAACAAGCTGCAAATCAGAAGAAAGGAAGGCTCGGTAAGAAGGAGAAAGTCCACTATAGGAGAGGTAGTGTGAGATACAATGAGCAATACACTTTCTCTTCCCTTTTCTGAGTGCAATAGGAAGGCCAAGGTCATCTACAATGGGGTTAACGGAATCAATAGGAACTAAAACATCAAAGGAAGCGAGAGGCATACCTCGGCCAATGTCAGTCAAATCTGGAGTCTCCGAGGAGTCGATAGGAAATGATGTGGGTTCTTCTGCTGTGAAATCAACCTCCCTACAAAGTCGTAGGCATTGTCGTGTAAAGCATTGAGAAACAGGAAGCAAGGGAGGTAGTAAAGTAGGTGACATAGGAGGGTCGAACACTGGAGTGGACAAGGGGACTGGAACCGGAAGTGGTATAGATTGCTCACTTCCTTCCCCAAAACACTCCCCCTAAGAAGAACCCCCCCAGAAGAAAGGTGTGGACTCAAAAAAGGTGACATCCATAGTAACATACCGACTCCCAGAGGCTGGGTCATAGCAACAATATCCCTTCTAGTTTTCTACATACCCAAGAAAGACACACTTCTTTGCCTTCGGGTCAAGCTTCGAGCAGTGAGGACCAAGAACATGGACAAAGCAAACACAACCAAATACCCTGAGAGGAATGTGGAACACCTCCCCCTTAGGAAAAAGAAGGCTGAACGGGGTGTTATATCCAAGAATACGAGAAGGCAACTGATTAATCAGGAAAGTTGCTATGAGAACTGCATCACCCCAAAACCGAAATGGAACAATAGAAGGTATCATCATTCTTCTTGCAATTTCTACGATGTGTCTGTTCTTCCTTTCTACTACACTATTTTGTTGTGGAGTGTAAAAACAACTGCTTTGATGGATTACTCCATGCTCTGATAGATATGATGCTAAGTTCTTTTTAAAATATTCCTTGGCATTGTCCGACCTGAACACTTTCACTCGTACCCCAAACTGCGTTAGCACCATCTGATAAAACTGTCAAACCAAGGATGGCACCTCATCATAGGATCTCATCAAGTATATCCAATAGTGCCGAGAAATCCTTTATTACTAGCTTTAAAGGAATGTCTACAATGTTTTCCAAGTTGACAAACTAACAGACTCAAATAGCTTTGGAAATAAGAAACGCAAAGAAGAAAAAGACAAATGCCCCAACCAATTATGCCAAAGCATAATCTAACCCACAGACTCTTGTCAAACTACTA